ACCAACACTCCTGCTGCTAGCACTCCCACTCGACCCGATACCAGTAAGTCCCCAACTACCCAGAAAATCAACGCTCCCCCCCTTGCTGCGCGCCTTTGGACTCGCAGCCTCGTCAGCCCGCCGGGCAGAGCTATTCAGCGCCCTGCCTTGGAACAAAGAGCCCACAGAGGACCCCATTGCCTTGTCTGAGCTGCTGCCCTTGTTTTGTCGGTCCCCCCACCGCCAAGCTCCCGACCAGGAGGACTGCTGTTGTTGGGAGGTTGACGGTGACCCATCACCAGAAGCAGCACCAGGTGAGTCTGCTCCTGCTGCTGCGACAGCACCAGAGGAATCACCTGAGGATTCCCCTGTGCCTTCAGCAGAGCTCTGCGCCGAGAGTCTCCCGCTCTGGATGTTTCTCCGCCTCTCCAGCCGCCCAACCACGGCCGTAATACCCTCACTGGACACTGCTAGGGAGGAACTCTCACTACGAGGCGAGTTGGGATCAGACGCAGAAGCTGCACCCTCAGGTTCGTCTGTGCTGCTCTCAGGCCCGGATTCAGACGTGCCCAGCCCGGTCCCCCTGCTGATCCGGACATTGCTGCGCCTCTCCAGCCGGCCCAGTAATGATGAGCCCGTGCTCGCGCCTGTAGCAGCAACTGCTGGTGGTGCTGCATCTTCTGGTGCGTCTTCTGGTACGCCTGCTACTGGTGTGTCTGCTGCTGTGTCTCCTGCTGCTGCTGCCGTCGGTGCGTCTGCTGCTGCTGTTGCAGCTGGTGATGCAGCAGCTGGTGCTGCTTCTGCTGGGATATGGACTTCAGGCACCTCCACTCTCACAGGCTCAGAATTGGTTCCTGCTGCGTCTTCTGCTCCTGGAGCAGGATCATCGGCGCTGTCAGCAGCAGCCGTGGCAACTGCAGCTGTATCATCATCACCATCATCTGAAGCAGCAGTGGAGGCATGGGCTGCAAAGACGTCGAAAGCAGCTGCAAAGGCGGATGGAGCAGCAGCACCGGCAGCAGCAGTACCGGTGATGTTAGCACCAGCACTGGTTTCGGTGGTTTCGGTGGTTTGGGTGGTCTGGTTGGTCTGAATGGTTTTGCTGGTTTGCGTGGTTTGCATGGTTTGGATGGTTTCGGTGGTTTGAGTGGTTTGGGTGGTTTGGTCAATGACCGCTGCAGAATGGTTTCTGTTCAGTTGACTGGCGACGCTGCTCTTGGGGTGGCTGGGGGAAGCACCACCTGTCAGGAACAATCGTGAGCATTGGAGGGAGGTTTATGCAGGTGCCCACAGTCCAAGAATCGGGAGCAAAAAAAAAAAGCACCCTTGCCCTAACCCACCTGGACGCAAGGCGGCAGGCTTCGCAATCCGCAGAACAAGACAAACTTCGCCGACCCCAGCGCCGTCCTTGCCCTTGATTTGATACCAGCGCACCACTGTGCCGCCCTGCAGCTGATCTGCCACGTCAACATCACACGTGGCCAGCACCTCGTCTCCCGTGTCAGGTGAGGTAATTGCTATCTGTGTGAGTGGTCGGGAGAGCAAGAGGAGCGGGAGAGGGGAGCTGAGAAGCTTGGTTTCTGAAGCGCCTCAGATTACACCTGGCCAGCGCCTCGTCTCCCGTGTGAGGTGAGCTGATTGCTATCTCTGTGCGTGGGAGAGGGAGAGGGAGGGGGAGGGGGAGAGGGCGCAGAGATTCTTTCATGAAGTGCCAGCAGAAAAGCTCGATTTGTTAAGCGCATCAAATCACACCTGGCCAGCAACTCCTCAAACTGTCTAGCGAGCTAGCTACGTGATAAAAGTGTAGTTTTGAGACGTCTCAAGGTGACTTTTGGGACGACTCAAAAGTCACCTCGTTGTTTTGAGACGTTTCAAAACTACACTTTTATCACTTGGTTTGTGAAGCGCATCAAATTACACCTGGCCAGCACCTCCTCGAACTGTCCCGCGAGCTAAACCCAGAATCACCTTTCCTGGGTAATTTACCCTGAAGGCACAACACAGAACACAAGGTTGAGATATGAATTCCCAGTCCAAGCATAAGTCAATATGACGCACAGGACACAAGGTTGAGACATGACTTCTCAGTCCAAGGAGAAGTCATTATGACGCACAGGTCACACAGTTGAGATATGAGACAGAGAACGGATCTGACCTGGAGAACGACGTCGCCTGGCTGCGGCAGGGAAGCACCAGGCGAGTAGTCCAGAGGAATCTTAAAGTCCTGGAGCCACTTGGGAGCCGCTCCCGTCTTCGCTGCTGTCTTCACCTGCATCAGGTGCATTTTAGAACGGAGCGATTGAGGGCGTTTTTTAAACGGAGTCAAGAATCTTTGCAGATGTCTTCACCTGTGTCAACCGTGCGCAATAGGAGGGAGACCCATATCTCGAGCTAGCCGAGCCAAGCATGCGAATGCATAATTGCAACTACATCGAAAAGACGCGAAAGAAATGTGAAGTTTGCACGCCAAAGGACCGCTCGAGACATGGGTCTGCATCCTAAAGTCTACTTTGAAAAGACGCGAGAGAATTCTGATTTTAGCCACTCCGTCTCAGACGCACAACATTGGTCGTTTCAAAAAGAGCAACCGATGGAACAGATAAATAAAATTTGCGCGATGTTTGACTGTTCCCGGTACGAGGAATTGTGGTTGTGTGAATATCCATCACGGTGCTACATCGTGCGAGGCCACGCGACTGGTACTAAAAATATTTCTTACCTTATTTTTTATCTCGCAAATTATGACTGACTCGGGCAATGTGCCATGCTCTACATGGTTCGGAAGCAAAGCTAATTAATTGGCGGGAACTAAGTACCTGGTTTTTTCCCTGAGAGAGCGACACCGTGGCTCCGCCTTTGTCCTGCACGCCGCCTGGAAGCTGCAAGTTCCGGCCCTGAACCACTGACACTTGCAGCACGGTCGCTTCGGGGGAAGGCGACGGGGAGTCGGCCCCATTGATTGCGAACATTGTCCTTCAATGAAGTTGAAGGGAAATTTCAGTGCTTCCCACGGAGATAACGGGAAGAGAGCAGCCAGCTCGGTTAGGCCGACTGACTGCTCCTCCGAACAAGGTTTTCCGTGCCTTGGAGCCGCGTACTGCCGAGCAAATCGTTCAGAAGTCTAGAAAAAAGCCTCCTCTAAAACAGGGTCTATTTCTCCAAGCGAAACTTCTAGTCACTTGTGGCTGTATTGCAGCGCAAGTCGTGAAGGCATACGTCACAGGCGCCTGATATATTATTATGCGGCCGGATTGCTAAACGGGAAATAAGTTACGTCGCTGGGAGCGAAGACGGGAGCGGCAGCATTGAACGCATCGAAAACGCGAAAGTAGTCTAAGCGAGCGGCTAAAAGCGATGCGATGCGAGTCGTATGGGAGCGGAAGAATGGATTAGAGGGCAGGCGGCTCGAAAGCAGACTATCACTATGAATGTAACGAGGATCTATTAACCTCTTAAGTAACCATCAGATACTTCGAGTGATTTTGTCGAGAAGTAGCACATCTCACGGACAAAAAACCAACTCTGTTAACGTGCATTCTGGAAGCTGAAGAGGAGTGGGAGTCACGAAAGGCGAACGTTTAGAATAAGCATCAATGACTGACGTCTTATTGATAGCCCTCAGCGAAGATAGCGGCCGAGGTTTCTTGTTGTATTGCCTACACGCAAAACAAGCATCAATGTTTGAATGAAGTGAGAATGGTGGATGGAATGAACAACAACAGCAGGACAAAATCTTTCTTCTTGCCATCCCTGATAGGCCGGCGAAATGGATGAGAGGGTGAAGGGGGGTGAACAGCTGAATGGTGGACAGTGGAGACAACACAACTGGAGATGGATGTTCCCTTGGTTTGGGGTGCTTGGCTGCGCTGACGTGTCCGCGTTTGAGTGAGCGAAATCCCTCCAATCTTGACGGGCCGAGCCGCGAATGTCATCCATGAAACCCAATCCCAAGGTCCCCGCCCCCTGACGCGGCGCAGGGACAAGGCGGCGGGTGAATCTGTCTCGAGAGACTGGTTCGTCCCATACCCAAACCATATGCCCGCGGCTTGGACTGTGGTTGGGACTGTGGACGGGAGAGGAATACCCCTCTAACAACATTCCCTCTGTGCTGTAAGGTAAATGATAGTACAGTGGACCAAAGGGGGATGGTTGAGGTATCTCATGCGCCAAATTTACCCGTTATTGTCAACGTAAGGAAAAAACCCGCGAAACATTTTGTAATGCTGTATCAGCCAATCACAGCCTCCCTGACAACACAAACCGAGAGCGACAGCGAGGGCCGAACGAAACTGGTCAGGCGAACACCACAGAGAACATTTTTCGACGGTTTAGATCGCTCGTGGTTTCAGCTTCCGACGATGTGCGGCTAGTGTTGCCTCGGTCGGCACATGCCTAGAGTTCCTCGCAAACAGTAGCACGTGTATGACTGAAGTGGAAGACTCTCTAGAAGGTCGGTGTGACGGGGAACAAACAACGTCCACTCTGCTTGATTCTCAATTTAACCACGATTTAAATCGATGCGTTACGGTCTAGAGTAGCAACGAGCGAGGAACCTCTTGCTGTAGCTTACGTGGTAGGTATACTGGAAGAGCATGGAAACGTTTCGTGACACTTTGGCACCGAATCGTGCTGTTTTGAAAACCTCTAAAAGCTTTGGAAACCGTATTACAACCCGTTCTGACACCCATAGATCCCAAAATGCTCAACTTCAATCTGGTTCCCTCTTCCAGACTAATCTATTCCTCCTCCAGGCAGGCTCTGGCCTGAAGCCATGGCTCCTGAGCATTTTGCGAGCAGCAGAGAATATCTCCGCGGGTAGTCGTGGTCTCACTAGAGATCTGCTTTGTTCATGGTAATGCCAAACTAACTCGCTGGTTTTCCTTCTTCCTGTAGTTGTTAATCAAGCGTCCCGAGTCCAAACAGGAGATCGCATTAGCAGAGGAATCGACCGTTTCTAGTTACTATTTCTAAGGTTTGGCGCGCAAAATAAGGTCTTTCCTTCGATTGGCGATCGATCCATAATGGCGTCCGCGGAGGAACTAAAGGCGGAAAACACCCGCCTTCAAGCGGAGATGCAGTCCATGAAAAAGAAGATTGTTTTAGCTCTCAAAAAGCAGCAGGCGGAGCTTCAATCTAAAGTCCAAGAGGCCGAACGAGTCCGGGACGAGGCTTTAAAGCGAGCCGAAGCCGCGGAATCAGGAGCTTCAAACGGAGATGCATCTAAAGGAGCGGATCCGGCGGCGCTGCAGCAGCTGCAGGACCAACTGAATGCGTCTCAGCAGGAACTGAAAATGCTAAGAGAAGAGTACGTGGTTGCGAGCGAGAAGGTCAAGGCTGCTGAAGACCAGACCAGATCAGCGGAGGAGGAGAGAAAGAAAGCCATGGACGGCGCGAATGCGGCTCAGAAGAGCCTTCGCGCGTCGAAAGAGGAGGTCCAGATGGTCCGCGAGCAATGGACGGCGGCGCAAGGCGCGCTGATGACCACTCAGGAGGAGCTTACGAGTCTGCAGGAGCAGCTGCGGAAAGCGCAGGGGGAGGCGCGGGAGGCGCAGGAAGGGCGCGCGGCGGCGCAGCACGCGCTGCAGGCGCTGGGGGAGCGGGTGAAGGCGGCGGAGGCGGAGAAGCGGAGTGATCAGGCGGAGCAGCGGCGCGCGCAGGAGGTGGTGGCGCGCGCGGAGCAGCAGCTGAAAGCCGCGCAGGCGGAGCGCGAGAAGGCGATGGAGGCTTTGAGTGCTGCGCGGAGAGAGCTGGAGGGGTCTCGGGCAGACGGGGAAAAGATGGCCGGGCAGCTGAAAGCAATTCATGTGGAATTGGAAGCTTCGAAGGAAGATGGGAGCAAGTTGCAGGCGCTGGTTGCGGACTTGCAGAGGAAGCTTCCTGTAGTGGAGCAGGAAAAGGAAGGGCTGAGGGGGGATAAGGAGAAGTTGGAATCGGAGATTAAGGCGCTAAGTGATGAGCTCGAGGGTCTGCGACACGGCAAGGAAGCTTCGCTGGAAGATCTGCGCGCGCAAGTCGAAAGTTCCAGGAAGGAGCTGGGGGAAGTCAAATCGGAGCTAGAAAAGGCGAGGGAGGAGGCTGGAAAGGCCCAGTGTGAGGCGACGAACAAGGGCGCGCAGGTGGAGGAGTTGCTTCAGGCGCAGACGGTGCTTCAGGGGGAGGTTGAGAAGGCCAAGGCAGCGGAAGCAGAGGCGCAGGAAGAACTGGGGAAGGTGCGATGCGAGGCGACGAACAAGGGCGCGCAGTTGGAGGAGCTGCTTCAGGCGCAGACGGCGCTTCAGGGGGAGATTGAGAAGGCCAAGGCAGCGGCAGCAGAGGCGCAGGAAGAACTGGGGAAGGTGCGATGCGAGGCGACGAACAAGGGCGCGCAGGCAGAGGAGCTGCTTCAGGCGCAGGCGGCGCTGACAGGGCAGGTGGAAGAGGCGAAGGCCGCAGCAGCTAAAGCAGCTGCGGCGGCAGCAGATGCAGAGGCGGCTCTTCAAGCGCAGCTGGCAGAAGCGAAGAAAGAAGTTGCCAGGTGGGTTGCTAGTAACGAAGTTAAAAAAGCAAAAGCAAAGTTGACTAGGGCTCCAGAGACCTCACAGCTCAGTGCTAGATTTTCAAACGTCTCGATGCCAGGTAAAAGTTTTATTAACCAACCATCCCTAATGATGATTGAGTTTTGACGTCTCAGAACTCGCCTCGTGGGCTTCTGAGTGTCTGATCTTATGGTGAGCGAGACTGTGTTGATGCGTAATGGATGATCATCGACGTTTCATTGTAACACGCCTTTTTCGCTCCCTCTCTTCCGGCTGTATCATGTGTGTCTTTGCCGCGGCAGCCTTACCTCACAGCTGAAGGGCATGCGAGGGGCCATGGATCACGTGCAGAAGGCTGCTTCGGAGACAGAGGAGGTAAGTGAGGTGTGGGCATGAGTAAGAAGAGGTATGCGAGGGCATGCGAGATGCCTCAAGAGCTGACGGGCATGCGAGGGGCCATGGATCACGTGCAGAAGGCTGCATCGGAGACAGAGGAGGTACGTGAGAGGTGTGGTGTGGGCATGAGTCATAGGTACAGTGGGATTAGTAATTTCTTGAGGCGCCTCAGAAATAGAGGGGCATGCAAGGGGCCGTGGATCATGTGCAGAAGGCTGCATCGGAGATAGAGGAGGTACGTGAGAGGTGTGGTGTGGGCATGCGCCCAGCTGCAGGGTTTTTTTTAGAATTCTCAAAAAAACTCTGCAGCATCGTGGGCATGCGCCCAGCTGGATCTCCCCAAGCTGCTGTGCCTTCATTGCATTGCATGCCTGTTATCCAAACTCAAGCACATTCAAACAAACACTTTTACGTCCCTTCCATAATATCACAATTGAATGCTCTTTATTGGATCAATCCCTTTCAACCAAACCAGAGCATCCAGAAAGAGCTGGCAGATCTCGCCGCCAAGTCAGATTCCCTCAAAGACCAGCTGGCAGCCGCGCAGGCTGAGCTGGCATCGGCCAAATCCTCGCTGGAGAAGGAGATTCATTCGAGAGAGGCAGCGCAGAGAGAAGCAGAGGAGGCTCGAGCGGCGTTGGACTCTTTCCAGGAAAGTGCCGGGAAGGAGCAGCAGCAGGCTGGGGAGCTGTGGCAGCAGCTTCTAGACACGCGGAAGCAGGTTGCAGCAGAGACGGATAGGGCTGATGGGAGCGAGAAAGAGGCGGAGGGATTGAGGAAGAGGGTTGAGGGGTTGGAAAAGGTGGTTGAGGAGAAGGAGAAGGAAGGAGAGGCTGTGAGGGGGGAGCTGGAGGGAGTGAGGGGTAGGTTAGGGGAGGTGGAGGGGAGGGTGAAGGAGTTGGGGGAGGAAGTTGCTGTGAAGGAGGAGGAGGTGGGTGGGCTGAGGAGAGAGTTGGAGGTTGCATTGAAAGCAGCTGAGGAGGCGAAGGAGGAGGGTGAGAAGGTAAGGAAAGTGGCTGAGGAGCTAAAGAAGGAGATGGATGCGTTAGTAGGGGCGAAGGAGGCGGAGATTAAAGCCAAGGAGAAGGAGATTCAGGGGCTAAAGGAGAAGCTGGAGCAAGCGGTAGCAGAGAAGGGATCAGGCGAGGCGGAGGCTGCTAAGATGGGCGAAGACAGGAAGGCGTTAGAGGGCCGGGTGGCGGAGCTTCAAGGGGAGCTGGAGAAGGCGAAAGCGGAGGTGGAGAGCGGTAAAGAGGAGTTGGAGAGGGTTAAAGGGGAAGCAGAGAAAGCACAAGGGGAGGCAGAGAGTGTTAAAGGGGAACTCGAGAGGGTGAAAGAGGAGGCAGAGAGAGCGAAAGGGGAGGTGGAAAAGGGTGTGGTTGAAGTGGAGGAGGCGAGAGGCGCGCTTAAGGCAGCAGAGGAGAGGGTGAAAGAATTGGAGGTGAAGGAGGGAGAGTGGGAGGGGCGAGAGGCTGAGTTGAGGAAGAAACTGGAAACAGCAGAGGCGGAGTTAGCTGCTGCTAAGGCTGAAGCCGCAGCAGCAGGGGCAGAGGCGGCAGGGGCAGCGGCAGCAGGGGCTGTGGCAGGAGAGGCGCGAGTGGGAGAGCTGGAAGAGGCGTTGAAAGCGGTGAAGAGGGAGAAGGAGCGGTTGGAGGAGGAGTTGGAGGAGGCGTTGGGGAAGGTGAGGGAAGCAGAGAGGAAGAGCGAGCAGGTACAGGCAGAGATCAAAGCAGAGCTGCAGGGGATGAGGGAGAAGAGCGAAAAGGAGTGCGCAGAGAGGGCGGATGGAGAGAAGAGAGTGACTGAGCTCACTGCTGAGTTGGAAGGGGTGAAAGCAAGGGTAGAAGCAGCAGAGCTAGAGGCAGGGAGGATGAGGGAGGAGGCGGAGAGGGGGAGGGAACAGCTGGCAATGTCGGGCGGTGCGCAGGCTGAGGAGCTGGCGAAGGTGAATGCTGAGCTGGCGACGGCAAACGCTGAGCTGGCGCGGGTGTCGGGTGAGCTGGCGCAGGCTGCAGCTGCCCGTGTGGCGGCGGAGGAGGCGGCTGCCAGAGTGGCGGGCGCTGCAGGGGAGGCGATGGGGAAGGCTGAGTCAGCAGAGAGTGAGCTGGCGACAGGTAAGAAGGGTTTGTCCACTTGTGAGAAATTTCAAAAGCTGGTGACAGGTAAAAACACGCTCATCATAATCACACCTGCTGCTTTATCAGTATCATATCATGCCAGTTCCTTTATTACTCCGTTTCCTTCTCTTACTGTCTCGATCATCTGGTTTGCACATCCGGTGTTTATTGCCTGTGCTTGGCCAAAAGTGTCATGCCACAAGCGTCACTACTGGCTCTTGGGACATTTTCCAAAGAGCAGATCTTGGGACATGAAAAATGTCCCCAAGACCAACATCCGGTGTTTATTGCCTGTGCTTGGCCAAAGGTGTTGTGTCATGCCACAAGCGTCAGTACTGGCTCTTCCCTTCTGACTCGCTTTTCATGGTGTGATGTGTTCCGTGCACCATTCGGTGTGGTGCTGTGTGGTGTGGTGCGGTGTGGTGCGGTGCAGTGCGCAGCAAGCTGGAGGCAGAGGTGAAGGCAGCGGAGGACAAGTATGCGGAGCTGGACAGCAAGTTCAACCGCCTGCAGAAGCGCGCCAAGCAGAGAATCCAGGAAGTGACCAAGGTATGTATGGATCACCAGGGTATGGAATATCTGAGGATATAGGTGGGAAAGGACAAGTATGCGGAGCTGGACAGCAAGTTCAACCGCCTGCAGAAGCGCGCCAAGCAGAGAATCCAGGAAGTCACAAAGGTATGGAATGCACAGATGTGATGTGATGTGATGTGATGTGATGTGATGTGATGTGATGTGATGTGATGTGATGTGATGTGATGTGATGTGATGTGATGTGATGTGATGCGATGTGATGTGATGTGATGTGATGCGATGTGATGTGATGTGATGTGATGTGATGCGATGTGATGTGATGTGATGTGATGTGATGTGATGTGATGTGATGCGATGTGATGTGATGTGATGCGATGTGATGTGATGTGATGTGATGTGATGTGATGTGATGTGATGTGATGTGATGCGATGTGATGTGATGTGATGTGATGCGATGTGATGTGATGTGATGTGATGTGATGTGATGCGATGTTACGCACCAGGGTTTGAGGCAGTAGGATGTGTGAATTGAGTAAGCCTGGTACCTAGGCAAGGCGGCAGGGTAAGGGGCAGGGGCAGAGTTGCCTCTGAAACCTCCCATCTCCTTCTCCCCGTCCCGCTCCCTGTTCTCCATGCACCCCGGTCTCCCCTCCTCCCCGCAGGAGAAGGAGGAGGCAGAGAGGAAGCTGGCAGAGGAGAGGAAGCAGCAGGCAGCTCTGCAGGAGGATCTGGAGAGAGCCAAGGGGGTGGCTGCAGAGGGGCCGTCCCATCCCCTTGCCCCATACCCCGTTCCCTGCTGTTCTCCCCTCACCTTGCAGGAGAAGGAGGAGGCAGAGAGGAAGCTGGGTGAGGAGAGGAAGCAGCAGGCGGCGCTGCAGGAGGGCCTGAAGAGAGCCAAGGAGATGGCTGCAGAGGGCCCCTCTCATCACCTTGACCCCAACCCGTTCCCTGTTTTCCACCCAATCCCCTGTCTGCCACACCTTGCAGGAGAAAGAGGAGGCAGAGAGAAAGCTGGCAGAGGAGAGGAAGCAACAGGCGGCTCTGCAGGAGGATTTGGAGAGAGCCAAGGGGGTGGCTGCAGAGGTACCTCTGAATTCTCCCATCCCCTTTCCCTTCCTCTGATAAATTCCCACCCCCTCTACTCACCCCATTCTCCCAACTCCCCGCAGGAGAAGGAGGAGGCAGAGCGGAAGCTGGGTGAGGAGAGGAAGCAGCAAGCGGCGTTGCAGGAGGATCTGGAGAGAGCCAAGGGGGTGGCTGCAGAGGCGCAGCGGACGGCCGAGAAGGACAAGGATCAGCTGCGGAAGACCAACGCGTCGTGAGTGCCTCTGCTTCTCTCTAGTCTGTGTGGCTGGAAGGAACGCTCTTTGCTCCTGTGTTCCTTCCAGCTTGCTGCAGAGGCGCAGCGCACGGCCGAGAAGGACAAGGATCAGCTGCGGAAGACCAACGCGTCGTGAGTGCCTCGATGCTTGGGTCTATTCTTTGGTATGTCGAGATGGATGCTTGTAAGTTCCAGTATTCTCAGGGGCTTTTCATAACCTGAAGGAGTCACGTAGGCTGGCAGCGGGCAAGGAGCAGGCGTGGCTGGAGCTGTCAAGCTCAGCGCAGGAGGAGCGCTGAACCCAAAAATTTGAACTCTGAACCCTGCTCTCCCTTCCCCAGGCTTAAAGTAGAAGTGGACGAGCTGAGGCGGGCCTTGGAACTAAAGGAGCACAATCTGAAGGAGTCACGCAGGCTGGCAGCAGGCAAGGAGCAGGCGTGGCTGGAGTGGAGCTGTCGAGCTCAGCGCAGGAGGAGCGTTGAACCTTGAACCTTGAACCCTGAACCCTACTCTCCCTTCCCCAGGCTTAAAGAAGAAGTGGACGAGCTGAGGCGGGCCTTGGAACTGAAGGAGCACAATCTGAAGGAGTCGCGCAGGCTGGCAGCAGGCAAGGAGCAGGCGTGGCTGGAGCTGTCGAGCTCAGCACAGGAGGAGCGGGAGCGCATGGCAGGGGCAGTGAAGGAGGTGGAGGAGCGAATGGAGCGGATGGGGAAGGAGCAGGAGGCGCGCGCGGCTGAGCTGCAGAGGGAGCTGAATAAAGCACTGGAGAGCAGCAGTGCGCTGCAGGTAAGGGCAGTGGCGTTCCTGGTTAGGGTAACCGCGTGTTACGGGTTAGCGTAACCAGTTGTAGGGTCTGAAGGCTGCAGGAGGCACGGGCGGCGGAGATGCAGAGGGAGTTGAATAAAGCACTCGAGAGCAGCAGTGCGCTGCAGGTGAGGACACTTTGCTGCTGCAGGTGAGAGATAGGAATGTGCTGCATAAGGCGTTGATGGGGAAGGAGAAGGAGGCACGGGCGGCGGAGATGCAGAGGGAGCTGAATAAAGCACTGGAGAGCAGCAGTGCGCTGCAGGTGAGAGCACTGGTGTTCTGGTTAGGGTAACCGCTAAGGAGCAGGAGGGGCAGGCGGCTGAGCTGTAGAGGGAGCGCAATAAGGCACTGGAGAGTAGCAGTGCGCTGCAGGTGGGAATTGCAAGCAGTGGTGTTACAGGGTTGTTACCCTGTAACCGCTGTAAACAACCCCCTGTCCCACTTTCTCCACCCTCACCCACTTCTCCCACCCCCGCAGGTCCAGCTGTCGCAGAAGGAGCGCCAGCTGGCAGAGGTGGAGGCCGCCACGTCAGGCGAGCTGGCGCGGCTGTCGGCCACTCTGGAGGCGACACGTGGCGAGCTGCACCGGCTGGAGCAGAAGCTGCAGGAGGAGCGGAGCGGGTGGGAGGAGACGGTGGGGCAGCTGAAGAGGCGGGTGGAGGGGATGGAGAGGGGGAAGCGCATGCAGGAGGTGGCGTTGCAGGAGGCGAAGGGGGCGTGGCAGCAGGAGGTGGAGGGGCAGAAGAAGGCCGTTGCTGCCGCCCTGGCGGACCTGGCTGCTGCTCAGGCAGAGGTGAGTCAAGCAGGGGGGGGTGGGGGGGTTGGGAGTGGGGTTGGCTGTAATGTGGTGAGACTGTGAGGAGTGGGGCGGGTGGGAGAAGAGACTGAGAAGGACGGCTGGGAGGAGACGGTGGGGCAGCTGAAGAGGCGGGTGGAGGGGATGGAGAGGGGGAAGAGGATGCAGGAGGTGGCGTTGCAGGAGGCGAAGGGGGCGTGGCAGCAGGAGGTGGAGGGGCAGAAGAAGGCCGTTGCTGCTGCTCTGGCGGATTTAGCTGCTGCACAGGCGGAGGTGAGGAAGGGTGGAGGCCTTTGGAATAGTTGGTACCTCCGACAGGAGGTGGAGGGTCAGAAGACGGCCGTTGCTGCTGCACCTGCCTGCCTATGCCATGCCATGCCATGCCATGCCATTCCATGCAGCAGCATGGTGTTCCCTCCCGTGTCTATCTCTTTGCAACATCTCAAATTCTTCGCCATACCACCTCATGCCACCTTTCGCCACGTCATGCCATGTCATGCCATGTCATGCCAGGTGGCGAAGGGGCGTGATGAGCTGGCGGCGTACAAGGTGCGGGCGGCAGCGATGCTGAAGAAGAAGCAGGAGGAGCTGGAGGCGGTGGGGAACGCGGATGCCATGGCGAGCAAGGAAGAGGCAATCCAGGTGAGTGTGTGGTATGATGGCGAGAGGGAGACGTGACATGAGAGGGAGGGATGAAAGTGGGAGGAGGGGCTTGAAGCGGTGGGGAACGCAGATGTCATGGCTAGCAAGGAAGAAGAGATCAAGGTGGGTGTGGGAGTGAGTGTGGGGGACTGAATGTGGGAATGAATGTGGAGTTTAGATGGATATTACGTTTGTGCTTGCATACGTTTTTACGGTTACGTTAATGTGCGTTTTTACATTTATAACCTGTTCGTCCTGAATTTGCAGATACCGTACTTAGCATCCACATTAGGTCTCAATATCTGGGACGTTTATCATGTAGTTTGCCTTTCCCGTCTCCTGCCTCCTTCACCACCTGCCTCTGTCCACGCATCACAGGAGGCGAAGCGGGCAAAGGCAGCAGCAGTGGCGGAGAGGGACAGAGCGCTCAAGGCTTTGGAGGATGCTGCTGTGGACCATGAGACGCAGATGGCAGCGCGGTGAGATGCGGTGGAGATGGGTCTAATGTGGTGTGCATGTGTGTACATAGGACCATGAGACACAGATGGCAGCGCGGTGAATGAAGCGTGCACAAACAAGGCACAATCCATGTGGTGGCAGTGGGCTGTGTGAGAGAAAGGTGCTGTGCATGTGTGTACATAGAAGGGACGGGATGGGATGGGACGGGATGGGATGGAATGGGATGGGATGGGATATGGGATGGGATGGGATGGGATGGGATGGGATGGGATGGGATGGGATGGGATGGGATGGGATGGGATGGGATGGGATGGGATGGGATGGGATGGGATGGGGTGGGGTGGGGTGGGGTGGGATGGGATGGGATGGGATGGGATGGGATGGGATGGGATGGGATGGGATGGGATGGGATGGGATGGGATGGGATGGGATGGGGTGGGGTGGGGTGGGGTGGGGTGGGGTGGGGTGGGGTGGGGTGGGATGGGATGGGATGGGATGGGATGGGATGGGATGGGATGGGATGGGATGGGTTGGGATGGGATGGGATGGGATGGGATGGGATGGGATGGGATGGGATGGGGTGGGGTGGGGTGGGGTGGGGTGGGGTGGGATGGGATGGGATGGGATGGGATGGGATGGGATGGGATGGGATGGGATGGGATGGGATGGGATGGGGTGGGGTGGGGTGGGATGGGATGGGATGGGATGGGATGGGATGGGATGGGATGGGATGGGATGGGATGGGTTGGTTTGGTATGGCATGGCATGGCATGGCATGGGGTGGGGTGGGGTGGGGTGGGGTGGGATGGGATGAGATGGGATGGGATGGAACATGATGGTTTAGATGGGTGTGACGGGTGCAAGGCAGTGTGGGAGCAGAGCGGTGCTGTCACAGCTGAGGCGCCTCACAAGTGTTCCCACATTCTGAGATTTCTCAAAAGTGTCCAAACGTCTACCTCTTTGAAAACAGGAATGTTGCATTGATGGAAGCAGAGTCCAAGGAGCGAGAGCTGACGGGCAGGCTGGAGGCAGTGGGGTAGTAGAGGCCTCTGCTGGAGCAGAGGCTGGGGCAGTGAGGCACCAACCCTTTCCTAGCCTCCCTCCCTTCTCTTCCCTTGCAACCTTATCAGGCAGAAACGTGGCTGAAGCTGTAAGAAACAGGATTTGAGATTGTGAAGATGAGACTGCTAGGCTTCGGATTTGTACGGAGGTTGCTTGTCTCCTCGGCTCGGCTCACGTACAAATCGAAGCCTAGCAGTTTTATTTTCAGAGTCTCAAATCCAGTTTTTTACAGTTCACTTTTTCTAAGCGGCTTGCCTGCAAGGTCGGGGCTCTAGCAGCTGTATTCCGTTTCTTATTTCTGTTCCTTTTTACGTGTCTCTGATGCATGCGGAATCAAAAATCCGAGAGCCAACAGGCAGGCTGGAGGCGGTGTGGCAGCAGAGCGGTCACATAAGCAGTGCCACTGACCCCCCATACCCCCCCCCCAAATCTTCCCACCACCTCCCTCCCCGTCACCTGTATTACACAGTAACGTGGCATTGATGGAAGCGGAAACGAAGATACGGGAGCTGACGGGCAGGCTGGAGGCGGTGCGGCAGCAGAGCCGGGCAGCGCAGGAGGAGATGCACGGGCGGATGATGGACCTGGAAGACGGGTGGCGCGGTGAGTTGATAAGAGGGGGCAAGGGTGGGCGGGCTAGTTGGGGGATTGATGGTAGAGTATAGAACAGCACAGGGTGGGTAGACAGCAGGGCAGAGCGGGAGGAGATGCATGGGCGGATGATGGACCTGGAAGCTGGGTGGCACGGTGAGTTGATATTAAGGGGATAGCAGAGTAGGGTAGCATAGCAGCGCAGAGCAGGAGGAGATGCATGGGCGGATGATGGACCTGGAAGCTGGGTGGCGAGGAGAGTTGAGAGGAGCGGGGGAGGAATTCAGTGACTGGTAAGCAATAGATGCATGAGCGTGTGATGGGGACAACTGGGCTGATAACGCCCCTGATCCAATCCCCCTCATCCTCTCTCCCTCCCCCGAGCAGAGAAGCTGCGGCAGCAGGATGAGAAGCTGAAAGGGCAGACGGACAGCCAGACAGCTACCTTGGAGTCTGAACTCAGAAGGAGAGTGGAAGCGGGGGAGAGGGAGCATGCAGCGTACCGAGAGATGGCGGACAAGACTATAGAGGCCAAGGATAAGGCGATTGACGGGAAAGACAAGGAGATTGCGCGGCTCTCTGCTGAAGCTGCACGCCTGCAGGAGGCTCTGATTGCTGCTCAGGCTGGTTCTGCTGCTGCTGGTGGCGCTGGTGCTGGTGCTGCTGCTGCTGCTGCTGCTGCTAGTGTGGCTGGTGGTGGTGCCAACAGTGGTGCCGGTGGTGGTGTTGCTGGTGCTGGTGGTGGTGGGGAGGGTGATGGGGTAAAGCTTGCGGGGCTGGGTGCTGCTGGGATGGATGGAGCGGCCAGTCCCAGGAAACCAGCTCTCATCTCGGTGAGTCCACTGCACCGCACTGCACCGCACTCCACCGCACTCCAATGCTGTAAATGCTGCTGGTGGGGAGGGTGATGGGTTGAAGATAGCGGGGCTGGGTGCTGCTGGGATGGATGGAGCGGCCAGTCCCAGGAAACCAGCTCTCATCTCGGTGAGTCCACTGCACAGCATTACACTCCACTCCACTCTGCTGCACTCCTCTCAACTCCTTTCCACTCCTCTCCACTCCACTCCACTCCACAGCATTACACTCCACTCCACTCTGCAGCCCGGTTCTCGGATGTCAGATCCAGGGTTTGGCAAATCACCCTCATCCACTCTCCCCTATCTCATCTTCCTCCTATCCTATCCCATCTCCACATTGACTCCCTCCCCCCACAATCCCCTCCCTCATGCAGCCCGGTTCTCGGATGTCAGATCCAGGGTTTGGCAAATCACCCTCATCCGGCCTACCTCTCTCCCTCGGTGCGTTGCCTCTCTCCCTCGGTGCGTTGCCTCTCTCCCTCGGTCCGTACCCCCTCGCCCTCGCTTTCTGTCCTCCCTCTTCCTTGTTGTCTGGGTCAACTCTTCTTTTTTTGTCACTTCGTCTCCATACACCCTGAGTTTATCGCCTCTCATTACCTGTCTCCTGAAGAGACAACTTTCTGTGAGTTCCATTCCATGTCGTTCATCCATCACCTGTCCGTTTTTTGAGAAATCTCAGAAAACAGATCCATCACCTGTCCGTCCTCACCTCCTTTTTCCGTCACCTCTGTTTACCTCCCTGATATTACCCCCCCCCTTCCTCCCCCCCACCCATGCCATGCCCTCTGTGCATCCACCAGAGGGGATGGGGTTGGCAGACAACCCAGCAGAGAAGGCTGCGATCGCAGAGCAACACATACTGGTACGTCGTGCCCTTGCCACTCCTGCCTCTCTTCCCTCTGCTGCCTCTTTTCCCTCTGCTGCCTCTCTTCCCTCTGCTGCCTCTCTTCCCTCTGCTGCGTCTCTTCCCTCTGCTGCGTCTCTTCCGTCTGCTGCCTCTCTTCCCTCTGCTGCGTCTCTTGTCTCTGCTGCCATGTCATGCCGTGCCACGCTCTAGCTGCATCCACCAGAGGGGATGGGGTTGGCAGACAACCCAGCAGAGAAGGCTGCGATCGCAGAGCAACACATCCTGGTACGCCGGCCCCTTGCCTCTCATGGCTGCCTTGCCTCTCTTGCCTCTCCTGCCCCTCTTGCCTCTGTTGCTTCTGTTGCTTCTGTTGCTTCTGTTGCTTCTGTTGCTTCTGTTCTGTTGCTTCTGTTGCTTCTGTTGCTTCTGTTGCTTCTGTTGCTTCAGTTGCTTCTGTTGCTTCGGTTGCCTCGGTTGCCTCGGTTGCCTCGGTTGCCTCGGTTGCCTCGGTTGCCTCGGTTGCCTCGGTTGCCTCGGTTGCCTCGGTTGCCTCTGTTGCCTCGGTTGCCTCTGCGCTGATTTCCATCTCCACAACAGTCAATTCAACGCTTTCAAGAATTCACAAAACCTTTTGACCTCTGATCTGTTGCATGTGAAGGAGGATTATTTTTTATTATCATTTTTTTTCCTGAGCTCAGTTCATAAGTGTCTGTCGCCCCTTGTCTTTCTTCCATCCCAACTCAAACCTTTCATCCCACCCTTAACGTTCATCCAGTTCCTTGCGCGGCAGCAAGCACAGGGAGGAGGGAAAGGTTTCTCTGATCTCCCTTTTCCTGAGCCCCTGTTTCTAAGCGTCTATCCCCTTGTCTTCCTTCCATCCCACCTGCACCCTTATCGTTCATCCAGTTCCTTGCGCGGCAGCAAGCACAAAGGGAGGAGGAGGTAGCACAGTGCAGGCGCTTTTCATAGTGTAGTCTTCCCCCCCCCTTTTCTAAGCGTCTGCCCCTTTGTTGTCCTTTCATCCTTCCCGCACCCTTCACCCTTTCATCCAGTTCCTTGCGCGGCAGCAAGCACAAAGGGAGGAGGAGGTAGCACAGTGCAGGCGGCACATTCAGGCACTGCAGGTACAAACAAAATACACTAAATGTACAATTTATGCATGCTGATATCCATACATAAATGCGTGTATGATACGAGACTGTATGATATGCTTGCCAAAGCCCTGCCTCTCTGTGATTCATTGCACGTAATCCCATTGTGTCCCTGTGCTTGCAATTTTGCGAGGAAAGAGATCATTCAAGTCACCTCTTTTGTGTGTACAAGCCTTTTGATGTTCTATTGTGTGTTACGTTACCCCAGGCACCACCAGGAGGAGATTACAGTCCTGCAGAGGGAGAATCTTTTGTTTTTCCAACACACAAGATTGTAATTACATCTATCTAATGCCTGTGTTTGCCCCTGTCACCACCAGGAGGAGATCACAGACTTGCAGAGGGAGAATCAGCTGAGAGCCAAGCAGGTGGGTGGGTGTTCTGTTGCGTTCAAGTGGGTGCTCTGTTGCATTCAGGTGGGTGCGTTGTTGCGTCCAGGTAGGTGCCTTGTTGCATTCAGGTGGTTCCTTCTGTTGCGTTCATGTGGGTGCTTTGTCTCAACCTCCCACCTTCGTCACTGTATTCCATTGGAGTCGTTATTGAGGTATCCAAAACAGTCTGTTTTTTCCGATCTCCCATGTCATGTCCCCGCTTTCCTTCCCCACTTGTTTCTCGTTCAGGAACCCATCTTGACGAAAGAGCTGAGGGGCGTGGAGAGAGCGCAGGAGAGAGGAGGAGTTAATGCATCTAACCCCCTCTTTTCCCCTGCTCCCTCACTCCTTTTCTTCCCGCGTTTGTTCTTGCAGAAATCCGTTTTGAAGGAGGAGTTAAGGAGCATGGAGCGAGCGCAAAAGAGAGAGAATGTCCATCCTGTACCCTCCTTCCCTCCTCCTTTTCCACTCTTCCAGGAATCTGAACTGAAGGAGGAGCTAAGGAACATGGAGAGGGCGCAGGAGAGAGGAGTGCATTCAATTCGACCCTTCTTCTTACGCCCTGCTTCCTCCCTGCCCTCTTTCTTATCTGACCAACCTCCTTCCAGGAATACGTCTTGAAGGAGGAGCTGAGGAACATGGAGAGGGCGCAGAAGAGAGGAGTGCATTCGATTTGACCCCCCCCCTTCCGCCCTGCTTTCTCACTGCTCCCTTCCCCCAATGTTTATCTTCCAGGAATCCGTCTTGAAGGAGGAGCTGAGGAACATGGAGAGGGCGCAGAAGAGATGATTCAAAAGCAACACCCCTCCTACTCCCATTTTCTCTTCTCCCTTCCTCCTCCCTTTCCTCGACTACAGGAATCTGTCTTGAAGGAGGAGCTGAGGAACATGGAGAGAGCGCAGAAGAGAGAGACGGTGGACATGACTTATCTGAAGAACGTGATTCTGCAGCTGCTTATCAGAACAGGTACAAGTGCTTATCTGAACAGGTATGATTTTGCAATCACACAAGGCATCCCACGCCATCCCTGTTGAGATACAACCGATACTTTATTTCTTTGCTCGCTTTATTGCTCACTTCATTTGACAACAAAATAGTTACTTCTGTTCCATCTCTCCAGCTCCTTTCTCTGCTACCTGTCTCCCTCTCTGCCTGACAATCCGACCAGAGGGCAACACTTATTCCTGATATCAACATTCTACTGTAGTTCAGCCGAGAAAACTTGCTCCCCTCTTGCCCCATGTTATCCACCTACCCACCCTACCCTACACCCTGCTTTCCCCACTCTGGGCCCTGCCCCTTTCTCCCTCTTTCCCTCTCACGCCTGTTTCCACCATCAGACAATAATGCGATGCTCGTTTTTGTGGTCAGCATGCTGCTGTAGTTCAGCCCAGACAACTTGTTAACAGAAGTGTTTTGAGACGTCTCAAAACACTTGTGTTTACACGTGACTTCAGCCCAGACAACTTGCTCCCTTCTTGCCCCCATCTCACCCCCCTTCCTACCCTGCTCCCCTCCCCATCCTTCTCCCCTCCCTCCTCTGTGCCCTGTCCCTCCGCTCCCTTTGCTCCCTCTGCCTCCCGCCCCTTCTTCCCTCCAATCAGACCAGAGGGCAACCCTCATCCCTGTGATCGGCATGATACTGCAGTTCAGCCCAGACGAGGTGAGCCTAGGCCAGCCGGCACTCCTTTAGAGGCCTTGTTCCCTCGCTCTCTCACTCTGTCCGTACACCCTTTCAAAGGGCGACCCTCATTCCTGTGATCGGCATGATACTGCACTTCAGCCCAGACGAGGTGAGACTAGGGGGGCAAATCAAACAGGCAGGCGTTCTGTTGCGTGCTCAAACGGATGCATATGCCTTGTCTATGCTCTGCCTTTTTCACATGAAAGGCCGTCTGCCTTCCTGCTTTGCAGCCTTACCTTTTTGTGATGTGACTCCCTGTTGTGTTGCCACACCTCGGATCCTGTGCAATTGCCGAGGATTGTAACTCGAGTTTTGAGCTGGCTCGAAACTCCTGCTCTCTCAAATCTTACCTTGTGACGATGCAACACCCTGTTGTGCTGCTTGCTACACCTTGTAATGATGTCACTCCCCATTGTGTCGCCACACCTCGTAATGTGTGCAGTTGAAACAGTGCCGAGGATCATGACACTGTTGACCTGACACGACGAGGCATAAGAATCTTGACGTTACAGCTGGTGACCTCGCATCAGGCATATCGTCTGGCATCGTGACCCTTGGCATAAGGCATGTGATGTGGGATGGTGTCAATACACGTGGCATGAGAAGAATACAATGAATATGGTCAGATTTGGCCCAGTCATTCTGTGTGAAGGACCATTGACATAGAAGCATTGGGAGGGAACTACCGCATTCAATTGGCTGTTTGCAGGGCAAATCAAATCCCCTGAATTTATCATTGCGTCGTTACCCTAGTGACTTGGTATTCTGCAGTTACGGATTTGTTTACATTCACATGCTGTCATTTTACGCACTTACGTTATTGCCCTCAAGATCGTACAATTGGTGAAATTCAGTATAACGAGGGTTTAGGTAACGAGGTCGCTTATGCGCGCGCGTGATTGCATCCACGCTCCTGCGCAGACGCGCGTTAGCTTCTAGCAAGACTCCATCTCCTGTTAGCAATTTTTTCAACTAGAAAATACCTCATCAGGTACCTGTTGTGTTGCCATCCACAGCCTTTCTTGGGACTTTGCCTGTGACAGATACAGAAACTTGTAACAAAACTGAAGTTACAAGCAACTCTGGAGCATACACATCGACAAGCATGCATTGCAAGCTAGCACGAATCAAGACAACAGTGTCGAGTCTATTCGTCCTCAGTGCTGCGCAGGCGAGCGTTGCCGTTGATCACCTTAACATCCAGCTGCTGCGCCCTCTCCACGATAGCCTTGCGCTTGCGCGTTGAGACGGCAGACGCGATCTGAGCCACGTACTTCCTGCAATGGTTGGTAACAGCGACACAGGCAGGGACGTGGCTTGTTATAAAAACGTCTTCAAATCGTCTCTATGGGGATGCATTGCAATCTGAGCCATGGACTTTCACAACAAGCAGGGAGAGCAGCAGGGACAGAAGAACGGACGGTTAGAAGGCAGTAAAGCTGGACGGTGTTATGAGTGCCTAGACTGAAAGAGGGCGCAGACAAGAATGGGGTGGTGGGGACGGTGGGGTTTTGCAGGAAGGATGGGAACACTCGAAACCCGAACCCTAAACACGCTGAGGCGATAATATGGAAAAAGGAGGCTCTACAGTAGCTTCGCACTAGCGGACTGACATGGCACTACTGCAAACCACGACATGACGTTTTAGTGCACTTATGAAACGTTCAACCCTAACGGTTTGCACTAGGGGACAGCTGGGTGGTAGGGGACTTTACCGTGGCAGGCCCTGCAGCGAACCAGGACATGAACATTAGTGCACTTGAAAAAATCAGGCCCCTAACCGTTTGCTCTAGGGAATACCTGGGCGGTAGGGGACTCTACTGTGGCTTCGACTGACAGGCACTGCAGCGAACCAGTACAGGATGTTTTTCGAGGCGCCCAAATTCCATTGTGGCGCCTCAGAAGTTCCCTCTCGCGGACTGACTACGCACTACAGCCAACTTTTTGAGTGGACATGTCGTTTGAGTCGACTCAAGAGGCACGAGAAGCGTAAATGTAAACACTAGGAGATAGGTGGGCGATAGGGCGATATAGGCGCGATAAGGGGGCGATAGGGGAGCGAAAAAGGGGGTGATAAGGGGATGATAGGAGGCTGATAGGGGGGCGATCGGGGGGCGATGGGGGGGACCGATAGGGGGGCGATCGGTTGTAGAAGGGGAGATTCTACAGTGGCATCGCACTAGCGTAACCTTGGGAAACGAATAAAAACGTCACGAACCCCTCGGGATGTGATGGATACGCAAGAAGATGCGATGAAAAGAGGCGCGCGAAAGACTTTTGAGTCGACTCAAAAGTCACCATGGATATGCAAGAGGATGCGATGGAAAGAGGCACGCGAAAGAGGAAGGGTAGGACAATGGAAGAGAGAGGAGGCCGAGGCTGGGGTGCAGAAGGGAGAAAAGGGGCGGGGGGAGAGGAGACGGGGATGGAGGCGGCAGGGGGGAATGGAATTGGCAGGAAAAGGGGGAGAGGGAGAGGTAGAAGGAGCTGATCAAGAGTTTTGACGAATGAAGTATCGTACATTCGTCTGCGAAATGCAGCGAAATACGGTCCTTGCATTGCATAGCTGGAATTGCACGTCGATCTTATTGTGCACAGCGGGGTGAGTTTTGAGTCGACTCAAAAGTCCCCCGATACCCTGACTAGATTATAAAGGGTAACCTACAGTAAATTACTGTACCTGTTGTGCATGAGCAGGAGCTCCACGTCCCTCTCGTTGTGCACGCGGAACACCTGGAACCCGCTGCGCAGCATGTGCCGGGTCTTCTTGTTGCTGCCGTAACCGATGTTGGGCATCAGCGGCGTGCCCTTGAACTTGCGCCGAACGCGCGAGTCAATACCCTTGGGCCTCCGCCAGCTCTCCTGTTGAGGGGAAGGGGGATGTGGGAAGGGGGGGAAAGAGGGCGAGAGGGGGAAGAAAGACCGCCGGGGATCGAAAGGAGGAGATGAGCGGAAGGATAAAAAGGAAGTCATCAGCGGCGAGCTCTTGAACTCGCGCGAGTTGGTACCGTTGGGCCAACTTGTTAAAGGGTTTGGTAACGGGGGTGCGGCGGAGCCCGCGATAGGAGGTAGGGGAGCGCCGAGAGAGGATGAGAGGACGAGGCAGTAATGAATGAAGGATATGCTGTGCAAGAGAGGAGAGGACGCTGGGGAGGGGGTTGAGGAGAATAAGGGAGCAAGACAGGGAATAAGGAAGCGAGGATGAGAAAACGGAGGCGGGGAGAATGGGGAAGCGAGGGGAATGAGAAGTCGAGGAGAATGAGGACGCAAGGAGAAGACGAGGAAGGGGGGAGAAGGGAGAGGGAGAAGGGGACAGAGGAAGGGCGACGGGACGAAAAGAGGAGGGGAGGGTGGGGCACGGGCGGGAAAGAGTGGGGCGGAGGGAGGAGGAACGAGGGAATCATGACGGGAGGGCACGCCGGAGGGAAGGGATGATGTGGGAAATGATGAAGGCTGATGAAAAGGGGAAGGAGGAACGAAATGGTGAGGGTACTATACTTTCCTAGAACACTGTCAGGCAGATATGGTAACTGGATACTGAGTCAGCAAAAGGCTCGCAGGAGCCGAGACAGCTGGAATACTGGCACAGGATATAAGTGATCGGCGTAAACCGATCAACTCGTCAAATCTATCACAGCATTGGCCGTACCGCCTAGCTCGTCGATAAGAATCTACTACTAGTCTACTGGCTTCTTCCTTACGGCAAAATCTGAAAACCACACGGGTTTCTGAGCGTCAGCCTGCGTGTAAAATATATGAAACCCGTCCAAGCGCTGCTCAACATCCAACGGGCCGCGAGCTGCTCTGATTCGCTAGTAGGGAGCTACTAATACAACTAAAACAACTTCGCATATACAAATACAACGTCGCAACCCTCCGAAGCTACACTACCAGCACCCTCTTTCAAGCTCCAAATCCTGGACCACGGGTGATCAAATCGCACTGCTCCTGACAATGCATCCCCCCAGCGGCAACGTCTTAAGCGTGCAGGCTTCTCCCGCAAATCTAGACGAGGATCGCTTTCATAACTTCGAAGCAGCGGCCTGAGCACGGCACCCATAAGAAACACCTTTCGAACCCCCAAACGAGGCACGACACTTCGTAACAGTGCAAGCTTTCCTAGCCAAATCTAGACGAGGCTCGCTTCCATAATTTCGACGCAGCTGCCCGAGCACGGCACAAGAAAGCGACATGTGACGAACCCCGTTCTGCCACGAGTACGAGCTAGACGGCCCGCGTCAAATCGAGCATACGAGCAGCTTCGATCGTCCTGGTCTGAAATCCTGGTCTGAAATACTCCACTTGTCGGGTTCAATCGGTTAGTCTAGCGAAATAAACATGTTGCTTCGGTTCCTGAATCTGTGGTGCACTACTGGAAAGTCGAAGCGTAAGCAACGGGTGTCCGCATCACCCTCCGATAAAAATGACTCACGGGCACGCATTTTTTCCTGTCGGATTGGGGCCGCCAGAACTTGTTAGTCTTCTTCTTCACGATCTTCGGCTTCACAAGCGGCTGCACCATCTTGACGCGCTTCGGCCTTAATCGCCTCGCAGGCACTCTGTTCTGCTGCTGCTGCTAAACTGCTGCTACTTGGCAGCGGGGATTGGGAGATGGAAGAGGAGGGAGAAAAGGAGGTATCGTAGTGGATTACGGCAGACTAGAAAGAGCATGGAGTTGAGGGGTTGGGGGGGAAGTGGGGAAAACGGGGACAGAAGGAACACCGGGGAAATGGGGACAAGTGAGGTAAAAGGGGAGGGATGGGGAGAGGCGGAGGGATGGTGGCAGAGGAGTTGGGGCAAGGCATGCGGAGAGCTGGGGCAAGTGGCGGAAGGGGCTGGGGAGTTGAGTACGAGAGGGCCGGAATGTGACACTGACGAGGGAGTCGCGCCAGTGTAATGGTGGTAAGCCTCCAGTCTAGTAGCAATGATATGTTGAGACAGTCCAAGATAGTAGCAGTTAGAACCTTACCATCTACACTTTCACTAGCAGGAGGCCATTGTTTTCCTATTTGACATAAAGCCACACTAATTCTTACAAGAGATTACCAAATATTATAATAGCTCAAGGATCGATTATAAGGTGCTAATATTTTGAGACAGCAAAAGCCTTGAAAAAAATATTGTCATTGTGGCTGTAAATAACAATATGATAAAGGCAGGGCATTACATTGACTCATATTGACCTAGAGATCTATATAGAATCATGGATCAATTCCCTTCATTTTTATTACCATACCGAGATTTAACCTGGTGGGAAGGTTGTGCACACGTGTAGACAATCCCCATCGGCATTTTTAAAATAGCCTCAGTGATATGTATTACAAAAGCTATAGTACCAGCGCCATGTGAAGAACGGGTGCTGCAAACAAGAAGATGGCCGCGTTCGATTGCACTGCAATGTTTTGTACAGCCACACCACAGTATGTCCGAGTCGGCCCTAGGGTTTCCGAACCTAGGGTCACTACACGCCATAGTCAGCTTGTTGCGTGCACAATCTTGATTGACCATTGTTCAGATTTGACAGCTGTGGAAACAAACAAATCCCTCACAGTCAAAACCGTGTACACCTCATGTAAAACAATGGGCTACAGAGCTGAATACCCCACCAAAGTGCAGCGGCCTCGCTGTCGTTTGGGCACCAAGCGTGAAACAGAACTCTTCAATGTCCATTTTGCCCCTGGATCACTGTTCTTGACCAGCTGGCAGCAGTGTTTGGACTGCGGTCCGCAGTGAGAATTCCCACACCAGATTCGTAGGTGCACCGAACGTACTTCAGGTTCTGGTTTGGATCTGCCTAACCTCTCGTAGGGTTTAAAAGCCCATGTGTGCTGCTGCCGAGCCTTAACCGCGCCACGGAATACTGTGATATGGCTGTGGTTACCCCTGGACTGTGAAGCTATCGAACAGCACCGATATCTCAGGGTTTTCATTTGGCCCTTCGAGTTTGTGTAACGGCGATTTACACCTCTGATGTGGGCATTGAATATTATATTTTGGGTTTTCAGCTTAGCAGGGAGGGGTATCCCGACCCCTCCGCTTTCAGGTTAGGGGTAGCGCCCTTTTCGGATACGGACACAAGCACCGGCAAATCCCTGCCATTTGTTTCGCCAGAGGAGATGTGAGAGCCAGAAGATGCTAGATTGTGTCCACATCATCCTATGGAGGACAACTCAGCCCAATCCATTACAAGCATGCCCTCGCAGTCCAACGAATCAGAGATTTCCTTGGTCCGCGCTGTCATAAAAATCAATTCTCCTGCTACAGTAGCACGTGATCCAGCATCCTGTCGCCAGCCGATCCGGTTTTGCTCGAATTTTGTAAAAGCGACAAGAGATCACCTCCAATCTCCCTCCTCCTTTCGATCGTGTCTAAATGCATCTGATTCCAGTCCCCCTTTATCCTGCTCTTGCCCGCCGATGTGATTTACTTAGGGGGTGAGCAGCACCGGAGGTTGGGGGTTGGGTTGGGTGGGTTACTGTACAGTACTTGGTTCATGTCATGCATGACTCCTCGTCACGTCACACGAGCTTGGAAGAATTGCCGGTCTGGCGGATCTTTCCTTCCCAGTCAACCCGCGCCCTCAAGCCCAAATTCCAGTCTCCTCCTCGCACACACACTCCCCCACCCCCACCCCTCTGGCCCGCCCCTTCGCTCCTCCCCCCTCTTCTTCCCCTCCCCCTTCCCCTTCCTCCAAGTGCCCCAGTTATCCTGCAAGTGCCCCAGTTATCCTGCAAGCCACTGTCACAGCAGCGGCTGCTGATTTTCTACACAAAGGAGCCCCAACACCATAACATTTAGCCACGTTCTGGATCAATCCCCAAGTTTTCCATCATCAGTTCCACAGCCCCTTTCTTATGATGTCACAAGCTCTTGCAAGCTTCCTTCCCGAACTCGTTGACTTCGAGCCGTGGTACGAAAACTTCCGTTGGCAACCCGCGTGTAAAAATAGTCCCTGCGACGTGCCTCCTGTTTCTCACGCGAGATCATCGAGCGGCAAAGCGGCCATGACAGCGTCAACAGAGATTTCCGTTGCAGCGAAGGCTGTGTGCGAATCGAGCGACGGAAAAACAGCGACAGCTGGGAAAAAACGTTGCATGGACGAAGACGTCAACCGCCATAGCCCCAAGAAGTCGAGATGTCTCGACTCGAAATTAGACAATGCTGTTATCATCCAGCACATGCTTAAAGAGGCGCTTATTGCGGCAGGAAACCCTGTTCCAGCGAGCCAAGCCGTCGTGCCGTCGTGTGTCGCCGGAACCACCACAGAAGCGTTTCCGCAATTCAAGATAGAAGTAATTTCCTCGCGGTGTAACGAAACGTCTGCGCAGCGGGCTGTTTTAGCGGATTGTCGCGACACAGCTGCTGCTCCGACGCCGCCGAACCCAGATCATCTCGTTACGCCTAACCGTGGTTCTCAAGGGAGTGGAAATAGTTCCGGCAATATCCAGCCGAGAAGTCTGCGCGAGAAGAATCGCCGCCACCGCATCTTGTAAGTCTGCGATTTTTTCTTTCTCTTTTTTAACATCTTGACAAATCAAGCCAAGTGTGGTTTTTTCTCATATAAAGTCGCGACTCGGTGTTTGTTTGCCTGTTCGAATAAATGGCTAATCGTCTTCCACATTTGTACTTTTCTTTTTCAGGGCTGGGTTCAACAAACTCGAAAACGTTATTCCGTCCACGTTTTGCCAGCAGAGGCGGGCGTCGTTCACCAAGATGGACACGTGCACCTTAATTAGCATGGCTATTCAATACATCAAAAGCCTAGAACAGAGACGGGAGAACTTGGCCAAGCTTTGTATGAGCAGCATGATGCTTAGTGCGCAGACACTCCCGTAAATAGTGGCAGCAATTCCAGCCAAGCTAGAGCCAAAAGGCCTTGGTGATTTTGTGAATGTTGTTGCCTCAGTGCTCGTGTAAGTGCTGTTAATATCGCTGATAAATTATTAATATGGTCCAACACAGAGTGTGGTTTGTGAAGCAATTTAGAGAATAAGATGTGCTCTCAATGTCGTGTAGAATTCCGAAGTAACCTTTCGGTAACGAAGCCAACACTCTGTGGTCCCCACACTGCTCATGAATCACCTGAAGGTCCTCTCTTCTCGCGTCACCTTGGGCTGGTTATGACACGAGTTCCGCCCCTACATCACCTGCTTGCCAGCACATCACCCATCCCAAGACTCCCTCTGGGGCAATATCGATGAAAGTGGAATTGCGTTCTGACGCAGAAGCGAATAGCACCGACACCGTTGCCTTGAGCCTTAGGTCGTATCCCCCGCTGGTGGCAAGGTACTGTTGGGGGCAAGCGGGAAATTCGCTTGCCCCCAACTGGAGCCGCGCGTGGGTGCGGCTCCAGCTTTGTGTCAATGTGTGCAACATTGGGCGATGTACCGGCGACCTGCACATCAAACCAAACCCAACCAGTGCGACCATCTGCACGACAGATTGTTGACCGCCAATTCCAACCAACCGACATTTCACACGTTCGGATATCCCCACGACCGTCACCACGTCCTAACATCAGCACCAGCACCGACTGAACGATAGCTGCGCAAAATCCTCACTATCATAGTCGATGCACACGAAACAGCCACTCTTGCACGTCTCCTAACATGTCCAGGCCCACGGCCAAGAATCCCTTTTTCACCAAAATAAATTGCCAAACATAAGTGCCTCGGAAACAAGAAGCCTAGCTGGTTTCATCAGAAAGTTAGGAACATGGACCCTAAAGTCTCGGCAGCGCTTCTAGCCGTCATGCTTCTCTGGTGTGCCTATTACATACTAGTGTGGTTGCCCATGGTAGGTAGAGCCAGCGAAGAGTGTCTAAACTTGAGAGACAATCATACCAGGGTTGTCCACGTCGACGAGGAAGCTGCGCGTCTAGCACAGCAGCGCCGTGTTGTTCGCCGGAAGCGCCGAAGAACACGCATCCGCGAGTGGCAGGAGGATATCCGCATCATGACCGACGTGGAGTTTCAAGACGTTTTCCGCATAACACGCGACATCCTGACGTACATCACTGCAGCCATGCAAGGTCCCTTATCCTACTTTGTGGAGCGTCATGACATCCCTATTGAACTGTGTGTTCTTATTCCTATCAAGTACTTCGCCTCGGGGCTAACCTACGTAGACATGGCTGTGACATTTGGCATCCCTAAATCGCTACTCCATCGACTAGTTGATGCTTTCCTAATGCACTTCCCACGTCGTTTCAAACGTGAGTGGGTCAGGTTTCCCCCACCAGAAGCCAGGCCAGCTATGGCTGCAGATTTCAGAGATGTGAAGGGAGTCCCTAACGTCATTGGGGCCATAGATGGCACCCATATTCAAGTCCGCGGGATGGAGGGGCACAGACAGGAATATTACAACCGAAAGTCTCATTACTCTGTCCAACTACAGGTGACATGCGATGTGCGGGGCCTGATTTGGGATTACAACGTTGGCAACCCTGGCTCAAACCATGACCAATGCGTATTCACGCAGTCGGCACTATACGGCAGACTTGAAAGTGGTGAAATCGCTCCATACCAGTTGGTGGGGGACGCTGCCTACCCTTTGCGGGATTACTGTCTTACGCCACTGCATGCACCAAGGAAGCGGTTAATGAAGAGATGGGAGCAGAGCTTCAACAAAGTGCAGTCGGCAACTCGCATGGTCGTTGAGCGGACCATCGGCGCGCTCAAAAACCGGTGGCGGCTGTTCGGCAGGCGCCACGAATGCAAGCTGTGGAGGGTATGTGCGGGGACAGCATGCATCATTATATTGCATAACATCCTGACCTGCATGGGTACGCCACGCATGCGGACGGCGAATCCCAGGCCGTCGTACTGGACGGCCCAAAACGCACAGTGGTGGACACGATCTGGCATGTCTAGTTATAACTGGCCGGAGATATCAAGACCTACTGCAGCCGCGCTGAAAAAACGGCGAAAACATTTCGGTAAGCACATTCACCGCGCATACCTTCGGCGTCATCGGGCACGGCGCCCTACTCTGGCTGCGTAGGTGGCGCTCGCGGGGTGTCACTCGGCTGCCCTGGCACGGCGAACAGAGTGCGCGCCGTGCCTCTTGCCTCGCCCGCCGAGTCGCGCTCTGGTTGCTGGGGATGGGCGGGTGCAGTATCAGGACGGGCAGCAGCCGAAGGCGGTGGTACCACGTGTGCCGCCAACGTCATTGCCGCTACTACATATTGAGCCATCTGGTTTAACTGCTGCAGGCCTTCTTTAGTGCAGGCGACGATGGTATCTGAGATTAGACGCGCACCGCCCATGGTTGCGGTTTCATCGACGCGGCGCCTTGGAGTCCTTCCCGGAGTGCCCGCACCTGTGTGGAACGAGCATCGGGATGTACGCGTAGGGGTCAGATTTGTGACATAGCGTAGATGGCTAGTCTCTCCCCTGTTTAACATGCATGTTGTACCAAATAGGGTGGAATCAATTACAAGACCATCTTTCAGGCATGTCATGCAAAACTTACCAGATCCTTCAGCCAGGGGAACCGGTGTGCCTTGGCCGGATCGGCTTGGACCAGCAGCAGATGGGCCGGCGTGGCCGGCCTGAGGGCCGGGAATGTACGCGTTCGGGTCCACGTGAGTCTCTCCCGCGCCTCCGCCATCCGTCACATGCGGGCGCACGGCAGCCGTACCATGCTTCAGATTTTGGACGTAACCCCACCATTTCGGTTTCTGCGTGGCCTTGTTGCCGGATCCCATGTCCGCACGCGCAAGCTTGCGGTACATCGCCATGATGCGCTTCCAAGCATGCTTCATGGCCTCGCTCTCACGATCCCAGTCCTCGTTCGCCTCCTTCATGTGTTTCCGTAGTTTTCTCCAGTACTGTGACCCCTGTTTCCCTTGCGTGGCCTTGATATCGTCGCGGGTATTCCACATTGCAGCTGCCAATTCAACCAACTCCTCCTTCGACCACTCAGTATTGTAGTTTCTTGCCTTGTTCACCGCCTTCTTGCCTCTACGGCGCTTTCGCCCACCCTTTTTCCGGTCGGACGGGTCGCGTCTGTCGTCATCCCCGTTTTCGCTTTCGTCATCGTCAGAGTTGTCCGAATCCGTCTCACTCTCGCTCGATGACAGTATTTCGTCGAGATCCTCGGAGTCCACATCCGTATCCGCATCGACATTTTCTGCGGGGCCATCTTCGTCGTGCGCGATGTACTGGGATGTTGACCCAGGGCCGTCAGCAGCCAGGTTCTTGATGCGTGGACGGGAAGCTCCTTGTGCTTCCTGCTCTTTCATCCAGGCTACATAAGGAGGATCTACCCAGGGCTCCTCCTCGTCTGCTTTCTGCTTGCCTTTCTGGCTGCGACTTTTACGAGGTGGCATGCTCGTGCGATTGATGGAATGCTTGGTGGAATGCAGCGTGGTGTGGTATGACGATCTGAAATTCCACGCCGAAGTTTGTGAGTTGTGGTTGCTGGATCTTGAGTGCACGGCAGTTGGGATTGAGGTGGTGTTGCCAATTCCTGCCGGGAATTTTGACGGTTTCGCACCACTTAGACGTTGGCTTGCGCGCGTGCGATGTGTGTGTGCGATCTGCAATTTTGCGTGTGTTTGGGTGTCAGGCGATTTGTCAGATGTCGCAGTGCGGGTGTTGCGACGTGTCCTTTCAACTTTCCGAAGCATCCCCTCTTGACACCAGGAGGTTTATTCCTCCACGTGTTTTCCGAGTTGGTGGCATGCCACTAACCAATCTTGCCACCAGCCGGGGATACGACCTTAGGCACTGCGCGCCGAGGGCGGTTCAGTTCAGTTCTTTTCAGCGAAGATCAGTTTGCATTTGAGCGTGTCGCGATGGTCTCGGGCTAGCGGCGTGCGAGCCTACTTAGGCCCTTCGGTTAGGGTATTTTCAGGATGTTGAATTTCTGCTGGTCCGTGCCTCGTTTGACTGGAGCTCACTGCTTACTGAGCCTGCCTCGTTCTACTGGAGCACAGCACTGCTTACTGAGAGTGTCCTTTTTGTCCGGAGCACAGCACTGCTTACTAAGATGCACGGCAAATTCCCAATGCAGGCAGAATAGTGGTTGGCTAGGTATTAAAGACCGGAAGCAGGTAGTAAAAGCTCAAGGGCAAGAGACAGGAAGCATGGATGTTGTCGACGAGATATCGAGCTCTTCAAAGAGCCCTCGGTTTTCGAAACAGTCAGCAAGCGAGGTGTCGAGGCGCGGTGAGGAGGAGCCAGTTCATGCAGTCATTCTTGTTCACGGCATCGTGTCCACGTAGGTCTCACATACTATCGCCGTTAATTCCGCCATGTCTCGTCGATTTGAGATCTGAGTCCAACTCGTACGGTCATTACATGACATGAACTTTCAGAGTACGTGATTGGGATTACCTTAGCGGGGAGCTGAAGAAACGACTGGGCAAGCGATTTCTTATCTATGGTCAGTAAAAGTCGTCGCCTTAGTTGTTCGAGAGCAAATTTCAAACCAACTCGAAACCTAATTTCGCGATATCTCTGAAATTCCAGCGAGCTCGTCTAACGAGTTTCTGCTCACCTTCCAAGGCGTCATTACGGCCGGAGAACGACTGGCCAATGAGGTGAGCAATCGATCACGCTTTCGCTGTCAGCAACGCATTTGCAAGCTGGTTAACATCTTCTGAAATGTATAATGCCCGAACAGGTCAGGACTCTCGTTAAAAAGAATCCCAGTCTACAAAGAATAACATTCGTGGCCCATTCCTTAGGTGGCTTGTTTGTTCGGTACGCGATTGCCTTGCTGCACGAGCCGCATAACAGGTCAGTCGCTTAGTTCCGTTCGTGACTCAAATTAACGTGGACCTATCGTCGCATCTCTTTGGAATTTCATATTCTTGTGTGTCCGTAATATGTGCAGCGAGAAATCTAGTCTTGGTGGCTCTAACCAGCAACCTGGAACGATTGCTGGTTTGGAGCCAGTCTGTTTCATCACATTGGCTACCCCACACTTGGGAGTGTCTGGAAAGGGTCAGGTACGCTCCACTTGTAGTGTTTTCGTGACGATGTATGTTGCTTGATACAAATCTGATGCTATTTACTGCAATCTCCATTGCAGCTTCCGTTCCTTCTTGGTTTGAATGCTCTGGAGAAACTCGCTCCGTCTGTAGCTCCATTCATCACTGGGGAAACAGGACGCCAGCTTTTTCTTGGTGATGGTTCAATGAAAGATAAGAAGCTCCCTATTCTTGTTGAAATGGCCGCTGATAGCCCAGGCAAACCATTTCTGTGAGTTTATTCCAGCCGTGCTTGTGCAAATGAGACAAAAATCATGGAGGTGAAGTTGCTGAGTTGCACCCTGCATTTTCCTCAGGTCAGCGCTTAAAACGTTTAGGTTGAGGCTGCTTTACGCAAATGCTGGCTACGACCGCATGGTTGGCTGGCAGACCTCTTCTATTCGCAGAGCAGCTGAGCTTCCCGTGGTATGTGTGTCTTGGTGGGATTGGTTTCTAGGAGTGAAAATAGGGACAATTTTTGGAGCTGAGTAACCCTGACAAGCTCTTTTCTTTTGCAGATTGCGAAAGCAGCAATCAGTCCGCTTTATCGCCACATCGTGCTCGTCCAGAATTCTCCTGCTGTTGAAGGCACTAACTTGCCTGATCCACACTCGTTCACTACTGATCCATCGAATGACTTCGAGCTTTATCATGGTAATTGTTTGCTCGAGGGGCGTGTTGGCTGTGTTTCATGCTCCAAAAGCTGATGCACCAACAAAACGTGGAATTGACTGTACAGAGTATATGATTGCCGGATTGCAACAAGTCTCATGGAGGAAGGTGGACGTGAACTTTGAGGAGGCATTTTTGCCATTTTTCGCCCACAACTACATCCATGTAACTCACTGACAATTTTTCTTTCTCCCTGCCCTTCGCCCTGCTGATGCGTATGAGACGTAGTCCTAACCTGCTTTGCTTTGTCTATTTGCAGGTGAAAATGGAGTGGTTGCACTTTGAAGGTGCTGGGGTTATCAGACATGTAGCTGACACAATTCTCGAGCAGCATTCTGACGCCTTTCTTAGCAAACTGTAAGAACTTCTGAGGGAGACTTTTTTTTTTAGGCCGGTTATCCTGTAAGCCGTCTTTATTGTTCGAAAGCTCTCTTAAATTGACAGACTTTTAAACACATATCTCCCTATGCATCTTGCAACTGCTTTTTGAAGCCAGTTCAAGGAGCATGTTGCAAAAACACATTCACCGCCCTTCATTTCTCCATTAGCACAACTACTCACCATTATGTACATAAGTGCTGAAGGTACAGCTCTTTTACCCAACCGCCATCCTCCCGTCCTCACTGCACTACGCAACTCTTGGGTGAGTAATTCCAGATTGCCTCCTGCAAGAATCTAACCCCATTCAACCCCGCAGTGTTGAACAGATAGCTATTCTTCGTATCCTTATTAGCCACCCACACTTTTGCACCCAGGTCAGCTGAGCACTTGTCGCCAACCTCCATTCCTGTCTTGTCATGCCAACCTTTTTCCAAGTCAGGCTCGGTGGCTGCTTCTGCCAGCTCGTGGCCAATTGTTGCTATCATGCTGTCCACGCCCCAGTTTCCATTTGGCGTTTTGCTGGCAAGCAAGAGGACAGCGGCAACAAGAAATAGTAATTGGTAAGACTACGAATTGAGGAAGGACACATTTGAGCAGCCCATGCAGCGGGAGGGGAGAGGAAGAGTGAGGAAGTGGCCATGGGATGAAGGGGCAGCAGAGAAGTCATCACACACTTACTAGTAGTACTCGCTCTGTCCAAGAACGCAGGAAGAGTCAGCGCACTGGCGAATAGGATTACCGACGTGAATGTACTGATACAGCTTGCTGACTCCGTTCTTGATCCCCGTAAACGCTGTACGGAGTCCACAGTATCTGTCACAGAAGCCATCCCCGCCAATGGTAACTGTAACATCGGCACTGGTGAGCACCATGTAGATCCCATTAGGGTCCAAGGGGAAGCGCTTGGTGGTCATTATCTGCCTCTCGATAGCTGCAATTGGCAATCAGCAGGGCGTGCATGCCAAGGGGATCCAACATTCTTTAGAATCAGGAAAGGCAAAAAACGTGTCTTCACTACGTATATGATCACGTCCAGTGTGCCTATGATGGTGGTCACATGGCCGTGCTGCCACAGCATCCAATGCTGAATGCTACCTTACCTCCAATGATGCTCGAGCTTGTGTATTTATCGTAGGCTGTGCCGGCCAAATTCACCTGCACGAGTTCAAAGCAACAGGAGCAGAGCAGAGGGACTAAGGGATGTAAAGAGATGAAACTTCTATGCAGAGCAGTGCCAGTAGAAATGTTGTCAGGGAGGGAGGCAGGTAGCGGAGCGGAGACTAAGGTCCACAAAACCCCATCGCTTCTTCCCTCTACCGTAAGGACCCGACCACAAGACCATGTGGGACCAAACTGCCTCACGTTGGTGCCACAAAACTTTGGAGTTAGTACCTTGGGAGTGATGTAGTAGTATTTGCCGTTGGATACCTGGTAGTAGCGCGATGAGATCATCTTCCACCATCCGCGCACTGTCGCGAATTTCTGAAGGTGACACGGCGGGGACGAGGGAAGGCACAGGAACTAAGTGTGACAACAGGGGGGAGTGGCAGGGGGCCAAGTCAGCATCACAGGGCAGTTACAGTACTATGATACAGAGGGGGGAAGGAGTGGAAGGCACGGAGTGTTTTTCCGAGGCACACGGCGAACTCACCGAGGTGTAGGAAGTTGAAGAAATCGACTTGATGAAATTCTCCACGATGTTCACTTCCGACTGATACCACGTGCCGTAGTAGATGATGTAGAGATTAATCGGCTGTGTGAGCACGGCTCCGCCGTAGTAGTTTATCTGGTAGTTATTCTCCTTCATGGTTTCCGTGCGGTTCGAGAAGCGGTGATACTCCTTCTCCGGGTCCGCGCCGAGAATGGACATACGATGCAGAAAGCTCCCGTAGGTGCGCTTCGCGCGCGCCTCGGCTTCGATACGCTTTTTCGCACCCAGTAGTGCCCCGCTGTCCGCTGGAAACACCTCCCCGCCATTCGAGCTTTTAAGATGAATTTCGGAGGCTGGGATTTCCCCTTGAGATTCGAACGGGCTTAGCGGGAGTTTCGAGCGGCCGATCTTGAGGTCTCTGAAGCGGGCGTGCTGCCGGTGGGCAGGCGGAATGACGACACGGTGACGATTAAAGAATCCGTGAGCGCACCGAGCGTAAATGGCCGAGAGAATTAATGAAATGAATATAAACTGTAGGGAACGTGTGAAGGCCATGACGTAAGGGTTGTCCGGCGCTTGAAACTCAGCAATCGGTTTTCGAACTAAGATCTTTAGCAACTCAGAGGCAGTTTCGCTGAGGGACAGGGTTCTTCTACCTATCCTATTGCAACAGAGGATGTTAAAATGAATAGGTGTTTACGCAAGATCGTAGCCGCGAAATGCGTCAGATTCAACCGCAGGCTGAGTGATGTTGTCTAGTTAGCGCTATCTAGCTTGAAACAAATGTCGCGTCTTCGGGATATATGTACTCGAGCAGCTTTAGGTGATGGGGAAAGTCGGTGTTTTTTGGTGATGGGGAAGGGTGTTGAGAGAGATTGATGAGATGGGGGGGAAGGGTGGGATTCTTGGGGGAATGGGACGATCGCAGGGGCAACAAAACCATCGCCTGCCATCGTTGCTTTTCGCAGTCCCCAGTTAACTTCTTTCGGCAAACAAATAGATCGCCTGCGATGCCAGCAACGCACGGTTGCTGCCCCGTTGTTCTGTTACAGCGCAGCACGGCAATTTTCGCCAGAATCACAGGAGTTGGATGTGTCAACACCGTGGTGCTGCCGCGAAGGAATCCAACGAAGCAACTGACTTCCTGCCCACCCGGGTGATGGTCGCGAAAAATGCTGGTTACGCATCTGCAACTCGGCTGGACCCTGCTGGATCGGTCATCCAAATCCTCGACGCATCGCGTCTGCAGCAGCCACGTGGAGTCGGTTGCAAAAGGCTCCAGCATTCCCCGACTTCCATTGAAACATTGCGACCAAAAAGACACGACGAAAAATGAACTACTCAAAGAAGTGTGGAATTCGCTATAATTTCACCAGCTCCTCTTTTACTCGGGAAAATATGCCATTCGTAACCATCATGGGACTCGATAACACTTTTGGTTTAAAAAAAACAAGAGGCGACAAAGTCGACCTAGGGTTGCGAAGCTATTTGTCTAGTTGTATACGTTGTATTTGATGTTCAAAAACTGAGCAATCTTCATTGAGATTTAACTACAAAATTTTCTACAGGTAAATTTCAACTACCAGAATCGATCTTGCAACCTTCCGATCCTGAGGCCAATCTCAAACCATCGTGTTAAACCCGTCGATACTCATTCGTATTTTAATTACATAATTTTAACGCGACGAATGAGGTGGTTAGGTTTTTCACGTTCCTTCTTTTCCTTTCCTCTGCTTCTTCTCCAACCACTCCTGTCTGTCACGCTATTCCAGTTTCTAGGTAAGAGAGTAGCAGCAGCTGGAAGAGTAGGAATAGCAAGTGTTGCTAGTTTGTTAAGACTATCGTTAGCCTACTTAAGTTGACTAGGAGAAAGTTAACTCGAGATCATGCCTTCGTCACGTGAAGACTACCTTTCCGTTTTTTTGTATCATGCCTTCGTTTTTGCTACCTTGTTACTCCTGTTTTGTTGCATATTCAAGGTTCCGTATGTCTTTCTCCTTTCCTTCTCTCTCCATCCGCTATTGTTATCTCTCTTCTCATTTTCTCTCCGTCCGTGTTTCTCTTTTGTTTTCCCTCTTGTAACTTCTTGCTGGAATCGTTCTGCTTGTGCTTGGCGCGTTGGTGACTTTTTGCTCGTGCCAGGCGCGCTAAGGGAGAGGCCGCCACTCTCACCTACAGCTTCTTAGGTAAGCTTTACTTCCTCTATTCTTAGATGCCGATGATGACACTCAGCGTCCTGCGCATTCTCCGTTTACATATTCCGTTTTTTTATTTAGATATTCCAGTTCGTATTTCTTCATAATCTCTTCTCTTCTTCTTTCAGTCCGTCATCTCACATCCTATTTTCTCTAATTTTCGGTTTCACATCCTCTTGCATGGTCTTCATGTCCTCCTTCGTTCGTTCATTCCGTACGACCTAGCTCTTATGTGTTTTCCCTCTGTTCCCGTTCCTTACTTTCGTTTTATGCCTCTGTACCTCCTTTCTATTTGTCGGCTCTAACCTTTCAATGCTCACGGCGTTTTTCTTAGCCCTTGTATTGTTTCATTCGTTTCTTGGTTATTCCTGCATCTCGTCATTTCATCACACCTCATTTCCTTTTCTGTTTTTTTTTTTGTACCGACTATTTCTTTCGTTCCTCCTTTCTACATTCTAAACCCGTTTCTCAAGAGTCTTGCTGCTCAGGAAGGGGATTTGAATCTGGAAAATGTGTATTGGTCACTTTCAGGATTTATCTTGTCATATTGTCCATTTAATGTTGATTTGCTGTCAGAATGTTATTTGTCTAGCCTGCAGTGGGGTGCTCAATACTGAGTACAACCCCTTAGGGTTTTCTATTTGTGTATCCTGCTGCTTGCTAGTCCATCATTCCTTCCTTCCAATTCTCCTTCCCAAACCCTAAGTCCTAGTTCTAAAGCACCTTGCCTACCTCCTAGTGTGGGCCTAGGCTACTAAGCCTAGGCCCCACCTCCTACTATTCTAACATGTTATCAGAGCCCGTTCTCCCTTGGCCTGTGGGCCCCTATGCTTCCGCTGCAGTCCTTCTTCCTGCCGCGCGCGGAGCGCGCGGCGAATTTTTTTTTAGGGTTTCGGAGTTTTTTAATCCCGCCGTGCGCTCGGGGCGCGCGGCGGTTTTCCCGTCTGTCGAAGCGCCCTCGGGGGGGCCTGCGCGCTGCCCTCCCCGCTGCTCGTCGCGACGCCCGTGCGGGACCCGCGCGGCGTCGCCCTGCTCGTCGCGACGTCCGTGCGGGACCCGCGGGGCGTCGCCCCTGCTCGTCGCGACGTCCGTGCGGGACCCGCGCGGCGCCGCCCTACTTGTCGCGACGTCCGTGCGGGACCCGAGGGGCGTCGCCCCTGCTCGTCGCGGCGTCCGTGCAGGACCCGCGGGGCGCCGTCAGAGCCAGCAGCAACCGCCGCCAGAGCCTACAGCAGCGGCCGCCACCACCCAGCAGCAGCAGCCGCCGCCAGGCCTGCAGCAGCTGCCGCCACCGCGCCTGCAGCAGCAGCTGCCGCCGCTCTGCAGCAGCAGCCGCCGCTCTACCAGCAGCAGCAGCCGCCGCCGCTCTGCAGCAGCAGCCGCCGCCGCCCAGCAGCAGCAGCTGCCGCCAGAGCCTGCAGCAGCAGCCCCTGGAGCCGCCACTGCAGCAGCAGCCCCAGGAGCAGCCGCCCCAACGGCAGCAGCCCCTGCAACGGCCACCCCTGCAGCAGCAGCCCCTGGAGCCGCCACTGCAGCAGCAGCCCATGGAGCAGCCGCCCCAGCAGCAGCCGCCCCAGCAGCGGCCGCCCCAGCAGCAGCAGCCCCTGGAGCCGCCACTGCAGCAGCAGCCCCAGGTGCAGCCGCCCCAGCAGACGCCGCCCCTGGACCCGGTATGCCCTGTGCTGCCTGCTGCCTGTGCTGCCCGTGCCTGTGCTGCCCGTGCCTGTGCTGCCTGTGCCTATTGCTGCCCGTGCCTGTGCTGCCCTGTGCTGCCTGTGCCTGTTGCTGCCTGTGCCTGTTGCTGCCCGTGCCTGTGCTGCCCTGTGCTGCCCGTGCCTGTGCTGCCCGTGCTTGTGCTGCCTGTGCCTGTGCTGCCCGTGCCTGTGCTGCCTGTGCCTGTTGCTGCCCGTGCCTGTGCTGCCCTGTGCTGCCTGTGCCTGTTGCTGCCTGTGCCTGTTGCTGCCCGTGCCTGTGCTGCCCTGTGCTGCCCGTGCCTGTGCTGCCCGTGCTTGTGCTGCCTGTGCCTGTTGCTGCCCGTGCCTGTGCTGCCCTGTGCTGCCCGTGCCTGTTGCTGCCTGTGCCTGTGCTGCCCGTGCCTGTGCTGCCCGTGCCTGTGCTGCCCGTGCCTGTGCTGCCCGTGCCTGCTGCTGCCCGTGCCTGTGCTGCCGTGTGCTGCCTGTGCCTGTGCTGCCCGTGCCTGTGCTGCCCTGTGCCTGTGCTGCCCGTGCCTGTGCTGCCTGTGCCTGTTGCTGCCCGTGCCTGTGCTGCCCTGTGCTGCCTGTGCCTGTTGGTGCCTGTGCCTGTGCTCCCCGTGCCTGTGCTGCCCATGCCTTTGCTGCCCGTGCCTGTGCTGCCCTGTGCTGCCCGTGCCTGTGCTGCCCTGTGCTGCATGCGCCTGGTGCTGCTCGTGCCTCGTCCTTGCGCCCTCGTGCGCTCTGCTACTGTCTGCGCCCTCGTGCGCACTGTTTCTGCTCTCCCCCCCCCCCCGTTTGCGGGTATGGGGGTGGCTGGTGTGCATTCCTCCCTTTGCTCCTCCTCCTCCTTCGTCTCCCACTGCTGCAGCTGTCGCTGAGGGGGGTGGTTGTGTGGGAGACTGGGGTTTAGGGTTTAAGGGGCGTGCGTGGGAGTGGAGCTAGCGGTGTAGCAGCGGGTGTGTGTCAGGGGGGTGGGACTGTTTGGGGAAGCTGCATGGAAGTTGCCGTACTGTAGTCCGCAGCACCTGTAGTCCGGGGCGCTGTCCCGGTAGCCCAGTGAGCTAGACTTCTACGCCAGCCGCCTGTGGGTCCGTTGCCCGTCCGCCGCTATTTGAGCCGCGGGGCCTGTTACTCCTGTAGTCCGGGCGCTGTCCGGTAGCCGCTGTGCCAGTCTGCCTCCTGTTGCCCGTGTGTCTGCAGCTTCAGCCGTCGCCTCCTATCTCCTCTCCCCTCACTCTCTCACCTCCTCCTCACTTGCCCGTTGTGACTACCACCAGCTTTGCTCATAATTCTTAACTTTAAACTATTGTTTCTTTAACTTGTGCTCAGA